GCCATCCAGATGTCTCCTTATCTCAGTATACCCTGGCCATCCAGATGTCTCCTTATCCAAGTATATCATGGCCATCCAGATGTTTCCTTACCTCAGTATATCCTGGCCATCCAGGTGTCTCCTTACCTCAGTATACCCTGGCCATCCAGATGTCTCCTTATCTCAGTATATCCTGGCCATCCAGGTGTTTTGTAATCTCCATATTCCCCTAGCCATCCAGGTATGTTCAAGTCACTGTATACCCTGTCCATTCAGGCACTACCTCATCTCTCTGTATTCTGATGAACCAGGTATCTCCATTTTTTAGTATACCCTGGACATTCAGGTACCTGGATATCTCAGTATTCCCCAGTCATCCAGGTACCTTCTTATCTCATTATACCCTGGTCATCCAGGTTCCTACATATTTTAGTAAACCCTGGTCATCCAGGTTCCTACATATCTCAGTATACCCTGGCCTTCCAATTATCTCTGCATCTCACTATATTCATCCAAGTATTATTTTTTTTTTTTTCTTCTCCTGTTTCTAGCCTATATGTGCATTGTATCAAATACATGGCCATAACCGAGCAAGGCAGAGGGACAAGTTAGCTCATATATTAGAGGAATTGGCAAACCTTCAGGATGAGGTAATAATAGCTTATGTTATGATATTTTACTTTTTGAAATTGTTGTGAAGCTGACAATAACATCATATGGTTGTTTTTCAGCCAACCTAAATGCTTAAGACAAAACGTTTTACTGGGTGATTCTGGTCTTTGCACACTTCAATAATTGTGTGTTAGCAAAACAGATAAGATAATGAAGCAGATTGTTTCACACCCATTGTTATATGAATGCATTTCCTAGCATATTTGACATTTTATTTTCAAAGCCCTCATTGTACTTCTTGTAGTAAAAATAAACCATTGCCCTCTGTGTTCCATTCATCAACAACAGATGTAGAAGTGTATTACCAAACTGGTTGTGCACGAAATGTGTCAGGTTTTCTAGTTTGTGACAATTCAACCACTTTGTGAAAGAAATCACGGTTTGAGAACTGACAAGGGCAAGCATTTGAAGGGAGGCACACAGTATATGCTGTACTAAATTGATGTTTTCAAGTCTGTATTCAATAATGTAAATATGTTGTGGCTTTATAATAACTATATTCTACCTAGTTTGATACGTGTATATACCCTTGGTACTAAACGTATACCTTGTTGACTATTCTTACCAGGCAGATAAAGTGGATGCTGCTCTGCATACTTTACTGATAAAACAAGAACCACAACGACAGCATCTGGCATGTTTTGGTAGTTTTGTATTGTACCACACATTACATGTGATGATACTTTACACACTGTCTGGCTTTGAACTTGAACTTTATGCTCCTCATGAATACCACTATGTATTTTGGTAAGTAACCAAGTAATCTCCATACCGCAAGTTCTACATTATCGGGTTTCTGAGTTTATCCTTGATTGTCGACAGTCCTCGGGCTTAATGTAAATGTGTATCCTAGACATCCTAGTTAGTAAATGCAAAGAGTTTCCACTCCATACTTCCTGTCCCGGCGTTCGCAATTTATTCACACCTATTACGTTTATACACAATATTTATTAATAACAATAACAGATTAATATTACATGTAGGTACGGCCGACTGTCGACAGTCTAAGTTTATCCCCACTCATTTCAATTAATCCTTTACGTACTATAAAATAATATTTTTTGACAAAAACGTGTTGCTCATTTTAATGTATTTTGTGTACTGTGAATACTTTATTTTAGCTGGAATAATTTTTTCGCTGAAAAGATTTTTTGGGCGTTCTGTATGGAATTTATTTTCACTGATTTTTGGTATATTCACTGGATTTTATTTTCACTGAATCATTCCTTCAGCGAAAATAGCGAAAATTAATTCCAAGCAAAAATATAGCATTTTAAAGTATTTAATTTATGTTATTTTGGCATGTTTTTTTGTGAAAGTTGTCATCTGCAAATGTTATTTGTGTTTCTGTTGTTTGTTTTTACTTTACATCATGAAGTAACCATATCTGAAAAAAAGGGGAAAGTGAAGGCTTACAACCATCAATATAATAAATAATATTTGGTAATCATTGTCCTTAGTCATTATTGAAAATAGCTAAACCAATGGTGAATAGACAGGGTTGAAAAGGTGACAGCAACATGGATAGAAGACAATTGCATAAAGTGGCAAGAAAGGTTGTGTCAACTTAGGTGTACCTATTAGATGGGTATGATGCACCATATTCTGAGCCTACCTATAGAGGGGGAATGTTGTGGCGAAAGTATATATGCATTGTATTTATTAGTTCTATAGTCATAGATGTATTGATGATCAAACTTCTTTCATATGTTTGACACCAAAGCCAACTTTTGTCACATTTTTCACAAAATAAATCTGCATTTTTTCTCTCTCATAATTTCTCCAAACTTTTGATCAAGACTTGAAGGCAATTGGAAGTTGCATCCATCCGGTCAGAATTATCAAAGAAATTGTATAAAAATACAAAGAAAATTTGCAAAATTTTGGTGGGAAAAATGATTGTGGTCAAAAAGTTAATGATTGGAAAGCAGGTGCTTAACTCGACCCAACCATGTATGATAATTTATTACAGGTATTTGTGTGAGTTTCTCTATGGTTGGTTGATATCTACATTGACCAGAGCCGAAGGATTCTTGCTAGAACAAGATTCAATATCGGAGCAGCTGCAAAAAGGAAGAAGCAGCAAGAAGAAGAGTAAAAAGAAGAAGCAGAGACCCCATGATAGAGAAATTGCAACAGCACAAGCACTTCAAAATTTCTGCAATGGATTTTATAAGGTAATGTATATACTGTACTATGAAAGTCTGGCTGGTTCTGATGAAATGTGGGGTACTGTAATTCTATCAATTTTCGGAATAGTTTGTTCAAGTCTGCATGTTTAACATATAAGGCTTTTTATTTGATGGAGTCTTATTTTTAACTTGTATATTACCTGCCAATATTCTGATGAAATATTTTCACATTTTTGTATATTTTTCTATAATTTCTTTTTTTCTACAATTTTTAGCTCCGTTGTCGACTTTGTCGAGCGGAGCTTATCATAAGAGTGATTGTCCGTCGTCGTCCGTGTCAATGTTTTACTTTTTCGACTTCTTCTTGAAAACTACAAGCCTGAATGCTTTGATACTTGGTGTATATGTACCTTGGGTAGACCTCTTATAGGTTTGTTAATTTCATGTTGATATCTTCAATTCTCTAATTTGGGGGAATATTTTTGTCATTTTTGGTAAAAAGTGATATTTTCGACTTCTTGTTAAAAACCAATAGTTCAATTGCTTTGATATCACATATATAGATACTACATGTAGACCTTTCTCAGATTTGTTCATTTCATGATGATATCTTCAATTCTCTAATTTTGGTGATGAATATTTTTGTCATTTTTGGTAAAAGTGATATTTTCGACTTCTTGTTAAAAACCGCAAGTCCAATTGCTTTGATATTACATATATCGGTACTACATGTGGACCTCTCTCAGATTTGTTTATTTTGTAATGATATCTTTAATTCTCTAATTTTGGTGAATATTTTTGTCATTTTTGGTAAAAAGTGATATTTTTGACTTCTTGTTAAAAACCTCAAGTTCATTTGCTTTGATATTACATATATAGATACTACATGTAGACCTTTCTCAGATTTGTTCATTTCGTTATGATATCTTCAATTCTCTAATTTTGGTGAATATTTTTGTCATTTTTGATAGAAAGTGATATTTTCGACTTCTTGTTAAAAACTGCAAGTTCGATTGCTTTGATACTATACATATTGTTCATTTTCTAATGATGTCTTCAGTTCTTTAATTGAAATGTGCATTGATAACAGCGGAGCTATCTTGTTTATTGATCCAAATTGTTTAAAAAAATCTGATAAATTTAAGGGGCTATTTTGTGAAAGAAGGTAAAAGTTGATATAAGGGTTATAAAAAGCAGAAACAGTCTTGGCGACTTGTTTGTTATTTTGTATGTACCATATGAATTCATTTCTTTTGATTTATTTTAATGCAAGTACCTGCATGACCCATCTGTTCTTTTAAGCAGACCTCATTTATCTGACTTGTTCTCAGAGGTTTTATTCTGATTTGGTGCTAAGACAGAACACAAATTATTCTGTATGTTTGTAGACATTTCTTGACTGATCTGATGTCAAATGAAATCAAAGCAACCATTGGTCAATTTTAGGCATTATAAAATTGGCTGAATAAGTAGTGCAATTTGAACCAGCACTTAACATGAAAGATGATTAATTTAATCCATCCAAATACTAATTCCTTTCATATTTAATACTATAAATGTATTTTTCCTTTTTTTTGAATACCACAGGCTATGGTAGGACTCTCCCTTGCTGACAAAATTAGGAAACCAAACTCTGAATGTGATAATGAGCAAGTACGATACGAACATCGATTCGCACCATTTGGCAACGTACTGACGCCACCCCCGGTTCAGTATCAACAGTTTATGGAAATGACTAGCCTCAGTAAATACAATCCGCCACTGAGACCCATAGACTTCTATATATCTTCATGTAAATACTTCCAGCAAGCTAAGGGGATATTTGAATCTATACCAAACCCAAGTGAAGAGGCAAGTATAAAATGGCTTTGCAGCTAGGGTGTCTTGAAAAACAGTGCCCCCTAGAATATCAGATGGAAATACATTTACATTTGACTTACCGTACTGTCATGCTAACACAGAGTAGTTAATATTCACTATTTTTGACCAGTAACTGGTTCAAGTTGCATTATACTACCGTAGATAATACATCCTCCCTCTCAAATAGGTGATCTCGCAAGATGCAGGAAAGACATGCATCAAACATCTGCCACAAAAATCAAACGATTTGATTTTGAACTCAAATTTCTTTATTTCGTAACTCGCATCGACCGGCCGATCTTCGACAGAGGAATATTGCTTTCGAATAGCCTCACTTAATCGAAATTTACCATCATCAAATGTGGACAGCACATTATTAAGCATGGAAATGTCCCCAAAATATTTTGTCGAATCCCCCAATTTGTTTGTCCTGTTTTTACATTCGATTTCACACATAACGCATGATTCTCGCAGTGAACGGAAAATGGTCTATTGTGTGTTATGGACAAGTTCTATCTCTTATTGGTGTAAGTGGCCGATGTGTTGAACAAACTAATTCTGAGGCTACTCCTCATTTTGTTTCAAAATATTGCCAGGTACATGTAATCTCATGTGTGAATATGTTGGGACTGCTGGTAATTGACAATATTTTGGTAGAATGTAGGAAACCAGTTGTTCTAATGTCACAACATCCAAAGCGATTTCAATGACAAAATCTTTGGTCAGTCACATGTATACTTGAGTGATTTTGTTTTTTCTTTCTGACATAGGTTTTGAATCTCATCAAGGTAGCCAAGACTAACTTTGTAGTGATGAAGTTGCTCGTGGGTGGACACAAGATGGACTCTAGTGAAGCTGCCTGTTTTGATTTCACCATTCACAAAGTCTTTCCTATTATCAAAATTAACTGAACTCGGTCATGTTGCTACAATGCCAGTACTGAACATTATTGATGTGGGTTCGGAAATTCATACAGACTATAGCATAAAACTTTGATCTGCAAGTGTAAAAGTTGTAAACTGGGTGTCGCTGCCAAATTCTTTTTTTTTTTATATATTTATATAAGATAATTTTTTTTTTGAGTATAATATACCCCTTGACATGTGCAGTGTACAATTTCAATTTACATGTTGTAACAGAGTCATTCTTGTATGCATCTATGGTTTTAATAGGGTCTATGCTATCTTTTATCAAATCAATATGCGCACACCAGTTGTGTACACACAATGTTCTATGGTGACAATGATGTAGTCTGATTTTTGCAGCCATTTTGAATATATGAACTGTGGAAGTCTATACTTATCATAACCCAAATATTTATTCATCTGATTTTAAAATAGTCATGATGATGAACAATAGTTTTGCAGAATTTGTATATGAAAATGTTTTTGTAGTGTGCATTCTTAGTGTGTATCCACATGGTGGTTTGCTTGCTACGTTGGCATGGTTGCATATACAGAAACAAGAAAGTGGCTAAATAAATACACAATTCGTTTTATACTATATATACAGATACATATGTATAATTGTTGGACAAACTGTGAAAACAATTTTATGACTCTTGAACATTTGAATGGATTTTATTAAAACTTGGAGAAACACTATTGGAAACTTTGTTTTGTTGAGTGATACCATTTATTGATCAAAGTTAATTTTTGTGAAGGATGGTATTTACATATAATGCAATATTGAGCTTGCTGATCATAAATACCATAAATACCAATATGTGATATTTGTTGTACTGGTAGTTACCATTCTTATTATGCAAATTAATTATAATCAGAAATTATTTACAATTTAGGTTTTGCAAGCAAGCCCGCTCTACTCAACGGGTGAGTGATCTTGTAAGAATAGCCATCCATAAGTAGATGGCCCTTTGGATCCACTCTGATTGATGACCTCTGTTGACCTGCAACCTTTGACCTGCTATGAGGACTATTGTTTGACGGTTGTATTTTTAACTTGTCGATTACTTCATCTTTGACATGTACGGCAATGGCCAAACAAGCTGAAACACCAGTTGATCGAATACCGCCGACTGTTATCCACGATCTGAAGAGAGTAAAGCATGCAGATCAACTTGTTAAATACAAAGCTGGTTGTGCAAGATCATGAAATCATTTCAGCAGATCAATATATTCAGTTCAGAT